AATCAATATCAAAATAATTGTGGCCGATACATGCCGAGTCGGCGGAATTATAAAAACACACAACGACGTCGCACAAATGTATAGTATAATGAGCTCGGGTGTGACATAATAATATTATGCCAAGTACGTCTCATGCCCACCCTTTTTAGCAGAATGATAACAATTTATCTGTTTACTTAACTGTACGACGGTATTAAATACCTTGGATACACCTCGAATAGTTCGGTAAGTAGTGCATTGAGTTGGGGACATAATATTCTGTTGTAATAACCGAACGATATCAACTCCATAGTGTTATTGAATCGATAACTATATAATATTGTCTGTAGAGCGTTCCTATTCATTCACGGCGAGCGGCGTAGTTCGTACTGAATAAATTCTTGTGCGACTAATAATTGAACGAATTTTTCAAATTCACAATTGAAAAAAAAAATTCAACTAGACGAAATGCTGCATTTTGAAATCCGCACGTTGAAAATATAGGTATTAGGAAATATTAAAGAAAATATTGAACAGGACAGTTTCTATTACTTGAAATAGCTGGTAACAATGATAAGCGATAACTTCATTAATCAACTAATCACATAATTGCACGGTAAATACATTAACTACGCCTTGAATAGTTAGGTAGGCAGAGGAAATGCTTTGGAGGCGTACACATTTTGTATCCTTTCCAACAGTGTGCGAAGTCGACTCCATATTGCTATGAAATCGATAGCATATTGTCCAGACATTAGCGATCATCGTAGCTCGTACTGAACAAATTCTTGTGGGACTTATAATTAGACAAACCGTTTGAGCCCATCATAAAAAAAATTTAAACCAAACGAAACACTGAATTTTGTAACCCATAAAATAGAATTACATTTGGAAATAATATAAAATATCCGGTAGGTACAATCAGGAACAGTTGTTGGTATTACTATAAAACAAAGGATACCATAGAAATAGGTGGATATATTATTATCTCCGTCATATCACAGGACGTTATACAATAATCAAACCACTGACTGCGGACTCCTGATAAACTCGAGAATTATCAACACAGTAAGTTAAATAATATTGTTATGTATTTTCAATAAAATCATAAATCCGCTTTTGAGGCACACCTACTGTAAAACTACTTTGCATCAAAGTTTTCATATAATATTATAATCTCTTAGAAATCGATCGAGTAATATTAGACAAAGTCATAAATTGTAATTCGTATTATTTTAAAACAAAATTGGTAGGTATTATAATAATTATAACATCGGGGAAAATTATTTAAAAATGTATGTCAACAAAATAGCTAACACAACATGTTACATTAGCTAATGTCATCTGGATACTGTTAAAACTAATATTATTATCATTACACCGTAGGTATAATGTACACCATAGAAAATATAACATTATCGCTTTTACCGTACAAACTACCGAGTACTAAGTACCATAATTAATAATAATTACACAATGATAAAATTGTTTAGAACGATAAACATACAGTTATATTCATTGCATTTTAAAAATGTAACTATAGATGTATCATGCATACCCGTTTTGTAACGATTTAATTGCTTACCTGGTAGATTTTTTTTTTTTGAAAATTCTTATTTATGGATACCGTAACACCGTGAAAATTAGTATAATACGGAAAACGGAGGTTGTTAAATTATAGTGTCGAGTTCAGCTGATTGGTGGTTTTCTACGACATTACCTTACGTGGTTTTTAAGGAAGAATAATAAACGTGTATGTGAATATTATTGTGGTTGCATTATTAATATTATAATTTTCTCATAAAATATATTATATTGAACTGTGTTGTAAGGAGCATTGAAGCCTACATTACTTTGTAAGTCTATGTCTTACGTTATTTTTTAAGACTGCAGATGGTATGAGGAAATGCATAATATTATCATCGAAACACGTATACTCTCCACTATTCTTACGTTATAATATGTTAAATAAAGTCTAATTTGAATGCTCTTACCGACAATGGCAACTGATATTACTGATTAGTTTTGAATTCATCCAGAGAACGTTGGAAATATATAATAGAGTTACGTTATATATTCACACGCGGTCGGCTAAATATAATAAAATGTTCACCTAACGCCCGGGTTGCATTAATATAATATAATCATTCATCAGAGACTTGCTCATAAATAACACATAATGATATGATGTATAAATGTATTATTTGGTTCGAATAAACATGGTTAAATACATATAGTGCAACGTTCACTGCACAACATCGCGGGAAATAACTGCAATAATGACTTAAAATAACAGACTGTTCCATCGCTTAGTGGTATACGAACCGAACATTATACGTTACAATATTATAATGATGAGGCCGATGAGTAAATAATATATAATAGATAATATTATAATATATATAATAATATAGTGTTCAACACACAGTGCGTTGGATAAATGTAAAAAGTTATTTTGATTTTAAATGGACGTGGAAAACCGATGGATGCCGTCAAAGCCTTTGAATTTCATTTAATTCGAACGAACCAATCGTATACCGGCGGCTAAAATATCGAGTTCAATAAAATAATAACGTACATAGTCGATCGGAACAGTGGATTCTTTGGCGGAATATAATCACAAGATAAAAGCCGAACTCTGTACACTCTTTATCATAAGTTTCAAATAAAATTGTAAACATAATCATGCCATAAAATTTTTTACCTCAAATATAATATTTTAGATTATTGAAGATATTTGTTCTTAAAAAAAAAAAAGTCATAACTTATACCGCGGGTTATAGCATCGAAATGAGTTATGGCGTGCACTTACATCGAATTTTAATTTCTATAAATGTATGATAGATAGATTCTAAAAAATACGAATTGCCGTACAAATATTTTTTCCAGTTAACGTAAAAGCTTCTTGACTTTATATTTATTTAAAAACTTTGGATCTGAAGTTTATTATTTAGTAAAACCACGAAAGTTTAAAATGTTTGACATCTGTTGTTTGATTCACACTGGTTTTATTTAATGTTCATATTTATTTCCACGGCAATTGACATTTACACGTTTGTCTGTAATTAATTAGTTAATTCAACTTTTCTTGTTAAAAAACATCACAAATAATTATTCATTTAAATTAATGTGTCTTATACATTCTTGATCTACCAAGGATTTCAGTTTGATGATAAACAGGCAACTGATATAACAATTTAATTCATTAATACATCTTTAATACCTATAATACTTTGTAGGTAGTATATTAATTTAACTTATACAAACGATTCAGACAGGTATATATAGAAACATCGTTTTTGATTTCGTATGATTTTAATTTATTTTAATTATTAAAAATGTATATTTTTAGCATCAACAAAGTTCTTTCATGTATAATTGGTTATAGTGGATTGTAACTTTGATGTGTTTTTTTTTCTCTTTTGGATTTTTCAATTATCTATAAATGGGTTAAAATTCCTTAGTTACAATCTACTCCTGTGAAGTCAAAAACACGGTATGGCTTTTAACGCAATTGCTGGTTACCGGATCAATATTACCTTCAGACACTTGAAAATCACCATAAAATGAAACATACATAGAATTTCCATATTTTATTCATAAAATGACCTGCTGTTCTCATACTATGATAATAATAATAATAATAATAATAATAGTAGATCAAAGAGAATTAAAACTAAACCAAAGATAAATATTAAACGCCATACAAATTATTAAACTTCCAAAATAATAATAAAAGTAATAATAAAAAAAAAAAAACGAATTTTTATTATTAAATTAAAATATTATATTTTTTTTTCTGTATATTTCAGAACACAAGATTGTTTTTATTGAAAATTAAAATGTTTTAATTATAAAATGGCTTTAATTCATTGTAATTTTTAATTAAATATACTTAATCCCTATTTCAGTAGTTTATTTAATGTGAAAAAAATTAGTCTTCGAGCTTACAGTATTTTTCATCCGGCCGTCAGTCGATTTAGTTTATTCAATTAATAGGTAGCACAACAAAAAAGTTTGGAAAAAATAACATTTTAAAATGAGAGCATGGAGCTCTAACTGTTGTAATTACAAAATAACTAAAATATGATGTAACTTCTATATTACATAAGAATTCGTTAAATTTAGTTCATGACATAGATGAATAGGACAATCTCATACCAAATCTGACTATGTTCGTAATTTATTTGAGTTGTATATTAAATAATTATGATATTATGCAAAAATGTTATAATTTGGGAAACGTTATAAACGATAAAAAAAAGTGCATGGTTATTATTGGTTAGAAGAAATTAAAACGAAAAAAAAGTATAATTTCAAAATGATAACAGCTGTTTATTTATTTGTCGGCAACTGTAAAACACGGTTCGATAAGATTTCATTAACGCGATTAAAAAGAAAACACAGATGGTTGAGGTCTTATAGAATTTTGGTCTTTAAAATATTTCGTAAAATTTGAATAACCCAGCCATAATAATAATATGATATTGTTCCGAGCAGAGTATTAAAACCAAAAAAAAACCGTATAATCGTATTAAAATGAACAGGAAACATTACGAGTGTTTGTAATACGGGGGAGGGGAAAAAACAATAAAAAAAAGTCACTGCGTTAGACCGCGAAATTAAATTTTATTTTATTTGCGATAAGAATAATAATATTCGAGCATTTTTTCACTCTTGGTTTTTAATTAAAAAATTTAAATCAAATTTTTTTTTTTCATTTTCACGAACAGAATAATATATTAATATATAATATGGTAAATTCCGGCCCTACCTATATAATAATAATAATATTCTCAAGAGAATTGCTCTAGGAGACTCTGATAAAAATTTCATATATCCGAGAACGAATCGATCGGATTCCGTACAGCCAAAACTGTATCTACTTAAGCCGAATTATCGTTGTGTATAAAGTTGGTAATGGGGGGGGGGGGGTGTATGATACGTCGTAGAATGGTGTTATAAAACGACGAGCGTGATACCGTGGTGGTGGTATAGTGTGGTGACGTGGTTTCACTTACCGACGACTTGGAGATGAATGTACTGGCTGATGTGCGGCGTGGTGGATATCTGGCATTCGTAGATACCCGAGTCTCTGATCTGCGGATACTTGATCTGGAGCGTCCAGTCTTCGCTAGGTGGTTGATTGATCGACCGGAAACGCTGGTCGCCGGTATACGTGTACCGGCCGACTGTCAACAGGTGGATGTCCCGGTGTCTGACCCAGGAGACCTGGAACGGCACAAACAAGAAATCAGTGGCGTCGCATTATATACAAATATAATATGATTATTGAGTAGTGATTATTATTATTATTTTCCCACAATTTTACGAGACGGGGGTAAGTCCATCTGCATTTTTTTTTCCAAATATATAAACCAAATCGTCGGTCCCAAACCTAACCCGGAGGAAAAAACGAGTGTAAGTGTACCGGTAAACCGCGATTTCCGGCACTTAGTTGCGGCCAAAATGTTACGATGATCGACAGGTTTTTCGATTTTACTAAGAAGATAGTATAATATTATTTGAATTTCAGCCGAAAATCTGTCTCAATCAAAATCTACGATAGCCAGATAAACTCTAGGTAATGGGTTTTTTTTACAGTGTAAATAAATAAAAATGCATTCGATTTTTGTATAGTAAATTGTTACGGTGAGGTTAAATAACTCCAGCTTAGTATAATATTTAACAGCAATACATTTTTAAAAAGTACCATAGGATAAAAATTATGTACACGAGTGTGTTATTTCGTCGAAGTGGGATTTGTGTATATATATAGTTAATAAATGGAAGTGTCAACTTTTTGTTTGTTTATTAACAAATATAATAAAAAGTACCTATGTGAATTCGTGTGAATATAATTTACATATATTTACAATATATTTTACAATTGAATAGCCATTTTTATAAGTGAAATACTTCAATATCAATACCAATATCATATTTTTAAAAGTTCTATTTGACCAAATAAAATATGATTCAATAAATATACACACAAATAAATAAATGTGTTTTTAAAATGCATATCAATAGCACTAAAATCAAACAAGCCATAAGTAGGTAAGTTGTTTTATCATAGATAAACAGTTTCTAATAACTCTGAAAATAATTATGAAAAATGTATACAACAATTAATTATATAATATGCTATTTAATTGTTATTGGTATTAATTACAAACTGCAAAACCTTTACATAATTATATTAGCATTATACGTACAATATGTTGTACATAAATGTAATAAAAAAATAAATTTTTTTTTGGGCGAAATCAGATCCGCAAAACGCTCAAAATATATTTACCAATATTATAATGTTTCTGAATTATCTATTCGAAAAAACTCGTTTAATTTATCAAAATATCAAGGGCACGTGCGTTATTGTAATCGTCGTTTAAACACATACAAGTAGTCCTTTCTAACCAGTGAATTTACATTTTTAAGAGGCTACTAATGTAATATTTCACCTGTCTCGCAGCACTAATGACCCGATAAAAGCAACTACTGTCATATTAATTGTAACTAGTTGTCCCGTGTCGTACTCAAAAATAATTACCAAAAGGCTAAAGTAAATGTACTGAATTATCTACTAACCTATCACCTATTAGACATTAAAATCAGCCACCGTCATATTAATTGTAACTAGTTGTCCCGTGTCGTACCCAGTAATAATTACTACCAAAAGTCCAAAGTAAATGTACTGAATTATCTACTAATCTATCACCTATTGAACATTTCCCACCTACCACCCCTTAGACAACTCATAGCTAGACACTCGATTAATCTCTTTGCCACGCCACTGTATCTAACTATATACCCACATCACCCACAGTAATAATCACATGGATTTCGGCTACAGTGACATAAGTGCAGGATTTTTGTCATTGGATGCGTTTATCCGGATTCCACAAGTATCGGATGTGTTCCGGCCAAATTTTCATTCCTATAGGATTTTGTTTGTACCATAAATGCTAATATTATTATACAAATAGGTACTAAAAATTGTTAATACAAATCGGAATTTCCGAATAAACGAGAATATTTTCTGAAAACAAATGTCCGTAGTAAGCCCTAAGAAAGGATCTCAAAACAATGCAACTGCATAATATATTATCTAGATACACGTTTTATTTCATTTTAATAATTATTTCAAAATGATCAACAGATTTAAAAACAATTGGTCACAAATACGCTCCTGAAAATACGAACACTGCTGTACAAATAAATTATGAATTGATGAATCGGTCGTGTACAACCAGAGTATAATCTAACCTTAATGGTAACGTCGTACGTTGAATGAATCAAATTACGTACGAAATGTAACGCACACAGTTCGATTTAATATTACAATTTATAGTTATTAGTAATTTTTCATATTTATCGTACCTAGGCTACGTCTTGTGCTTAAAACTCGACAAACCTAATACGCTATTTATAAAATATGAAGAACTAAAAGAGTTTGAACGAATTGCAAAAATATTATAACATTCTGATTTAAAAATAATAATTGATCGTCTTCGAACCGCTAAAAATAATCGAAATAAATGTGACGTACTCGGTCAGTAGTACCTACATAGGATCGAAGATTTGTAACGAAACGTCAGCTGCTCGTCTCACTGCTAAATAGGGTTGAAAAAATCAATGAAAATTAAAGTCGCAACAATGATGATTTTTGTTTACAATATTATTCATTAATATTACGACTCCCTCGCCAATATAAGTTACACGTGTGCACGAACCTATGGCCCCTATTCGAATATAATATTTTGACAGGCACCTCCGAGCCCGTGCAACCGTTTCTATGAAATCAACCAAACGCAAACCGTTTAAATGACCAATTATATAGCGCGTGTAACACGTATGCGTCATAACCAGGTAATAATAATACTACTAACTGGAATACCGAATACTGTTATATAATATAATTATAATATATTATATAATATTTTGTAGCATTAAAAATAACGGTATATTATGTCATAGATTTGTGTATTTTTAAATCAATAAAGCACTGAAAACGCGCTGTTTATAGATACTATAATATTATCTTCTAATAATATCTCACGAAATCTGCAGTTGAGCGTCCCAACTCAATTAGGAACTCAAATAACATATATTAGTATGATTTTTCACTACCTGTGCGTCGCGACGAAATTCTCCAGCGAAAAATAAAAATGTTTGCACACCATATTATTATACACTGGTTAACTTATTCCGATCGTCGTGAGCAAAGTTCTTATAGAAGCTTTCGACCGACCGACCGTCGTACGTGTTGGTCGGTGCATCGAACTTGCGGCTCACTCGGGTTCATTATGAAATCATACACGTTAACGGTTTCGTTAATTTAAGCCACTGTATAATTAAACTTTTCCCGTAAGTCATGTTGCTCGTAAGCTCGTCAACTTTAAAGTGGCTAATATTATTTTACGGCGAGTGGGTTATTAACTCGAAGAGAGCGCCCGCCAGACGAGATCTCAGGAAAATTTCCGAAAAATTTGGCACCCCGCGAACCGACGGCAATCAAAGTCAAGGACCGTGTATGGTCATTTCGATGAAGACGCTATGGTATCGCGTCCTTCACGGGTTTACCATTTTATAAGCGGTGCGTGTTGATGTCCGATAGTAAGTTTCCGGCGATTTGGCAAACGAATGTCATGTAGTACGCCTCTTGAGAAATAAATTACGTGCAATGCGACTTTCAAAGTACCTATAATATATAGTTAGGTTTGAGTTAATTACAGTGAAACCCACCATAACGGACGTCTCATCCCTGCAATAGTGGAAGTTTTTTTGGGAACCAATAACTATAAACTTTCTACGATCTAAACCATCTGAATAGCGAATAACTGACCAAATTTCAGAGACAGAGAGTGTCTCCGGTATTTAGTGGTTTCACCGTACTGATGAATTAACGAAATACATTTCAAATTGAAAGCTTCTAAACAGGTTTAACGAAACTGCCGAAAAATGTGACACCCCCTGAACCGACGATTCGATGAAAACGCTATGTTTTAAGCAATAAAGACCATATTATAAGCGACACGTGTCGATGTTCGAGAGTAAGGTCCCGGAGATTTGGCGAACGAATGTCGTGCATTACGCCACATGGAAATAAATAAAATACCAACTCGAATGGATAAGAGAGACACTTTATTTACTACCCGCGACGCACTTGCATTTACGCGATTACAGAAATCCACATCACTCAATAATAATACAAGATCGAATTTGTACAATGTTTTTCTCTCTATAATATTATGATTATATCATTATGGTACCTAATTATGGCACTATATTATTAACAGGAGTGTCCATACTTTTTGTGAACTAGTGATAATATATTTATCGTTCGTAGATCGATTGACGTCTACAATATTTGCCTCTCATTTTTAAGTTTTTATCCCTGATATTTATAATACACATACTCGTATATAAATACAAAATTCGAGAGTATAAAGTTATCCAAAAAATCATTGTTCCACATTGAATTTCTAAATAACTACAAAATAAATTGACACTGTAGGTAGGTATAACTGTTGGTATAAAAGCGTGTCGTTGCATATTAACATTGACCAGTGAACTACAATCTGGCTACACGAAGTGATAGTAACTAACTACGCTAAACTAATATGCTGCTCTAAATTATCTTCAAAAAGCGTTGCTTGCCGGGTTTTAAAACTTTCATTAGAGAAAATGTCATTTCACACGAACAGATTAATTCGAAAGATGTATGTAACTCTGTAGCCTTCAGTATCTACATTAAAGTATGCTACTGTAAGTTCTAACAAAAGGGGAATCGACTTTAAAAACGTCTGAGATAGACTTTTTGGCTATATTATAATATTATGATAACGAGAAGTCGATAGGGAAGATGGATTGAGTTAATTACTTGTTTTTAATTGGGCTTACGCAATACATTTTAACATGAAAGTTTCTAACGGCACCGACAACAGTCAAAGTATGTTAAGAACTACAAGAAGGTAATTATTTCGATCCAAAAGGTATGATATTTTTTGCATCCTTCATGGGTTTACGCAGTGGAAGACCATATTATTATAAGCATTGCGTGTTGTTGTTCGAGAGTTAACGGGGATTTGGCGAACGAGTTTCGCGTACAACGGGAAAAAAAGAATTGTATTTACGCGTGCGTGCCAAATGCAATTAGATTCATAATAAGTACCTATAGATATTAGATAACATATTATAACGATAGAAGGTGACAAGGGAGGTGATTTGAGTGAATATTATACAGTGAAACCTTTCTGGAGGGACGCGCCTCCCTGCAATAATAGCGGACGTTTTCATTGGGACCGATTACGAACTTTCTGCAATCTGAACCCTCTGAATACAACATCTCAGCGACATAGAGTGTCCGGTATGTAGAGGTTTAACTGTATTTATTTTTAGTATGCTTTAAGAACTACATTTTAACTCGAAAGGTCCTAACGTGGTTTTACCAAATTGCCGCAAAAAAAAAAAAAATGTGGCACCCCTCGAACCGATGGCAATCAAAGTTAAGGACCGTGTATAGTTATTTCACTACCAACTCTATGGTATTATTGCTTCCTTCATGGGTTTACGCAATAAAGACCATAAGCGGAGCGTGTTGATGTTTGAGAATTAGCGACGATTTAGAGAACGAATGTTGTGGAAAAAGATAATTCCACCAGAATGGATAACATATGTATACTGCTCAGCGCACAGTTGCGTATTGAGGTGTTAGTCTACACAACAATGATACTTGCAAGTCGAAAAGGTACGTTGTTTTTCTCTTTACAATACAATTGGTAGGTAAGTTTACGATCTTTACATTTTTACGTTGATATAGTATATTACGATAATAATTATGAAGATTATCGACTATTAATAGTCGATATACAATTGTATAGTTTTGGTTACGATAGAGGACGTCAAACACGGCAGCCATAACTATTTAAAAAACTACTGAGTAGTTATCAATTCTTATTTTTATAAATCAACGTACCTAATTGTAGCGATTTAGTTTTTGGACTGAAATCTTTGGAAATTGTTTCGAACTTAGTAAATATAATGTGCTAGTTTTATATAGCAAGTATTATTTTTTGAATTTTGCAGCTGTAATCGTATGATACAAATGTGAGTCTGCGCAGTAGAGACCATGTGCGTGTCGATGTTAGAAGAGTTCATGACGATTCAGCAATTTCGTGGAAAAAAAATTCGAACCAAACGGGGTAAGAGAGAAGCATTATAATATACTTTATACTGCTCGGCGCACAGTTGCATTGACGCGTTACCGAAAGTCCATGCAACAATGAGAATAGAGACCAAGTAGAAAAGGTACATTGTTTATAATATAATAATAGGTAGGTAGGTGCCTTATATTATTATGCTCTGCTGCTCGACGGAGTGCGCAGGTACAGTGTACACATATACACACACACACACACACACACACACACACACATACATATTATAATATATAAATGTAATATTATTATAACGAGAAGGCGACAGGGAAGGTGCGGTGCAGGTGTTTGAGTTAATTACTTATTTTTAGTTGGCCTTATACGCAATAAATTTTAAAATCAACCTACTTCATTGTGCATTATATATTATATACAAACATTCATACATATATATATATATTTTATATACATACGATATATGCATACAAAACGCTACATTATTTAGAAACGTTACACTTTGAAATTTTTATTAAACTTCCGAGAAACGTAAAATTTATTATGTTACCTACAAGTATTTACACGAGTATAATATAAAGTGTTCACTGCTGATAAATACGAGATTAGACACATAGTGGGTATATAACAATATGGCCGTGTCACAATATAGCTACAAGCCTACAACACATATATATATATATATCCACAATATTGTATAGGCAGGCACCGACTAAAAACGTAAACACGAAAATATAACGGTGGCTTAAAGTTTACTGGCCATTGGGTCGGGGTGCACTTTTTTAAGGGGGAGTTAGTTATATAAAATTATAAAATTTAAGTCAAGTCTGTTATTAAATTAAAGAACAAATATGCAGGACGTATAGTTATAATATATAGGTAAAATAAACAATTAAATGTCAATAGTTGATAAATTGTATTGTCAGAATATTTAAATTCGGTAGGTACCCAAAGAAATTAACATAATGTTAGGGGCCGGAATTTTTTTTTTTTGTGGGGAGGTATAATATAATATAGTTATAATAATATGTTATCACATAAATACGTTTTATCATAATATGATATATAATAAATTATTGTTAGAATCTCATTAATAACATAATGTATGTAATATAGTATTATGTTTTCGAGCTGAATAAATATAGTGCATTTTTTTTTCTGGCCAATTTTACTTTAATGTTTTCCGTGCACCGGAGAAAAACATATCAAGTAGCACGCTAAGTTTTATTTTTGTTCAGATAAATTAGTTTTGCTCGAGAAATGTCTACGTAATTACATTTTTGTTTTAAGTAATTAAAATATATTATTATAATAATATTATGAGAGTTGCGAAATTTTAAACACCGGCAAAAATAACAATGCTATACCTATATACTTACCCTGACTGTTTTAAAATTATACAATTTACAAAAGAAAGTCGCAACGATAAAATACAAATTGCATGAATATAATATCACACGGAAAATGTGAGTTAAACAACAACTTTTGCATAAATCTTGTGGACAATTTTACATAATGTACAAGTCTCACGCAGGAATTTTCCGAGGATCATTTACTATAAAGGTACCTATTAACGTGGGTAAGGAATTCGAGCACTTGTAACAGATTTTGTTTATTTCAGGAGATTTTATTTGCAACTGGCGTCGCTGTTACACAAATTTAATATTATCTGCATTTTTTATTCACATAATTTTCAGCAATAATCAATACAAATCCTATACCATAATAGCTGTCCGCATTGTGGACGTGCATTACATTTTGAGGTTCAAAGTGATATAATGCGAAGGAACTAATCTTTTTATTCTTCTGAATAATCAGTAATGTAATATATTTTAAATTGCGCAATAAAAAAATCATCTTTTGCACCCTAAACGACTAAACACAGTAATTACTTTTCATTTCTATATAATTTATACTTTTATCCGGCTTTAAGACAACACGATGAATAATAATTAACCACTTTTGCACCTTTTCTATTTAAATAATCTCAGTGTTCGCAACAATTAAAATTTATGATATATTCGCCATGTCAACATCAACCCCAAAAATTGTTCGAAAAAAAAAATAAAAACGAATACAATAAAAATAATTTATTCTTTTTTCCTTGATTTTCACCATTTACTTTGTATTC